CTAGGTAGATGGGACCAAAACCAAAAGTTGTTATATGTGCTCCCCATCAAGGCACAGTCGTGAGAGGGTGGAGACTTTGTCTCCCTTATTTTTCTCTTGATTGTTTACCGTGAGATCAGTTCCAACAAAACTAGCTTGGTACGTACTAGTAGTATTGTAGGTTCAGTGCCAATAACATTGACCTGGAACTGGAAGTCTGGAATAAATCAGTTTTTTGTAACCTGCATATTCAGAATATGTATTGGTAACTTAGAAGACCACTAACCAATATTTCAAATGTACGTATACTAAGATAAAATATGCTCTAGACAAAGTGTCTCCTCTATAAGCCAATACTCTTGGTGGATCGGAGAACTAAATATTAAGTTCTACGTTCGCGACCTGCACTTCTAGTGCCCCCTCAGCACTGCCGTGGAATGGTGATTGTGCAGTTTGGCCTTGTTATTTTGAGCTGAAGGTATGCGTAGGAGGGTAGTGCCTTGAACTTGGCGTAGGCCGGTCTGTCGAGGATGGTGTTGCAGCCCATGCGGAACGACACGACCTCGAAGCACATTGTTTCTAATTTAAAGTTTTCTCCCTCGCCGAAGACGACATCTAGGTTAAGTTGCCCGATGGGATGCACCTGATTGCCTGGTACAAAACCATGGAAGCTGATGGGCGAAGGGCTCAAGCGGGATGGAGATCCCCATCTTGTCCAAGGTGCCAGGGAAGATAATATTTACTCTCATGCAGCCTCATAGACCCCGTGTCGAGTGATTCTGGGCCCAACGTGTTTCGACGGCTTGGAAGGTCATGTAAAAGCTTTGAGATCAGGTCGGTTGGTGGGTTGATGAAAGCTCGGCCGCCCCTAGATCGGTCGTGGTACCAGAAATTGATAAAACAAAAGGAGTGATTGTGGTCCTAAATTTGTGTTGACCTGTAGATTCAACATTGACACGTTTTGCCCTTTGAATGAAAGAAATATAAAAGGGAAATTTCTGTGAATCTTATTGTTGTGTGAGATTCTTTGATGCCGTACGACACTCATGCTCCTTCTGTACACTCATAGTGCCACAAAAAGCTCTCATGTACCTATACTTTAAAAAATACAAACAAATATTTAAAACGTTTCAACATTTTCTAAATGGTACGAACATATTTTTATATCATATATACTATTTTTTTCAAAAATACGTGGAGATTTTCTTTGAATGATATGAACATATTTTAAAGATTAACGAGCAAATTATGCATTGCATGAATATTTTTTACTACGCGGTGAACTTTTAGAATTTACCTAAATTAATGTTTGGATTGTTTTTTGAAATCTAAACGAAAGTAATAAGAAAAACAAACGAGCGAAACAGACATAGCGATGCAGTGAGTGAGTGAGTGAGTGGGCTTGGGTGGCCCATATATAGATATAGGGTCTCGCTTAGACGCTCTGTGTCTGTCGACGCGCACCCACATCCTCCCCCACCACCACCGGCGACCGCCTCCGCTCCCCTTCCAAGGCGCTCATGGCGGCGGCGATGCGTTCCCTCCTCCGCAAGGCGGCGCCGGGCCTCGGCCTCAGGTCGCCCGGGCTGTCGCCGGCGGCTGGTTCCCGCCTCCTCTCCGCGACGGTACGTACCCCATCTCCCTCCTCCCTCGCCGGCGGCGGGGTTCCCTTAGTCCATCCTCTCGCGCGGGTCAGATCTTCCGGGTGGAGGGGGCCTTCAGCGGCGCGGTCGCCCCTGCCGTGGCCATCGGCTGGTGGGGTGGCGGCATGCCCGGCCCTGACAAAGCTAGGGCCCTGCTGCAAGATGATGACAAACCGGGCCCTGCTGGAGCTAGTTGGGGACAAGTTCTAGCATAACCTGCACTTATACTAACTCTTTTTCTGTAAATACCAGCTCTCTGTTGGGATTCTTTCAGTTCATCTGCTCGCTTTCTCCTTTTCATAACCCAAACATATACTTTCTAGATGAAATAGCACGAAAGCAGTGCAATAGTTATGGCATGAAATTAATTTTAAAAAAAGAGCACTTGGATGATGCCTTCTCAAATCCTTATTTTTCTCATGTCTTTGACGAATTGGGATCATGGGAGACTAGATGGAATCATATCGAATGAATAGAGACAGATTAATCCATGTCTAATAGAAGGGGGGAATACCGATGCACATTGTTGGGGGATTTGTTGGGAATTAACAAGATCTTCTCCTCTATTAGTTCTGTCTGAAGTACTAAAAATCGTGTTAGGGGGAAGGCGTGTCATCATCATGTAATTTAGCAAGAGAACTTGGGAGGCGAGAGGAGAAGATGAGGGAAGGGCCTCGAATCAGTTTCTACGCACGTACAGGGAGCAGTAAAGCTAGTTCCTTGCCCATTCCTGGCCTCCTGGGCTGATTGTTTCAGCTTTTTTTTTTCTGACGGGTTGGGCACTAATATCTCTAGCCATATGCATACTTGGGTCGGGGCCCCAAAAATTTGGGGGCCCTGTGCGGCGGCACCTGCTGCACTTGCTCAGGGCTGGCCGGCTTCCCCCTCCTCTGCTTGCTTTCCCCTCTAGTACCATCTAAATTTATACTCTACTCCATTGCAACTTCTTTATGAATTTCTAGTATTTGTAATGTTTACAAATGCCCTTCTATAGGGGCGACAAGGGGTCTATTCTGATGATGATGAAACACTGGCTAAGCAGCGTGAGGAAATAAAGCAAATGACTGCTGAGTTTGACCAGAGCATGCTGGAGATCCGCAAGAACTTAGACGCCATGGATGAAATTGCAAGGTAAATACCTTTGTACCGTAGTATACAACTGAACGAGCATTTTTTTATTTTTTATGCCCGATACTGTTTCTGAACGCTATTGAGTTTTCACACAAAAACGGGTAACTTGTTTTGGTTCAGAATATAAAATAAATCCCTTCCAAGTTTATGCGTCGCTGGAATAGCGCTCGCTCAGGCCATCACCCGTTCCTGTGACACTGACGTGTGGGCCTTTCTTGGCTTTTGGAGGCATTGCTTTCGTGCGTTGGGTGACTGGGCGTTTTCTGCTACGTGTGTATGGGGTGTGGGCCGATCGATGGGGTGCTGTGCTCGCTGCGGGTGTGCGGTGGTCGGGGTGTTTGTGTCAGGTCGGTTTGGGAGGGGCCCGGTTTTTTCAGCGGTGCTCTGACTGTCTTGCCGGCCCCTTTGGTGAGAAAATTTTGCTGCTGCGTACCCGTCGTCCCTTCCTCTCCTGTGTGGTGGACCTGGGGCTTCGATTGGATCAGACTGATTATTGTTGCTACCTTCTATGTCCAATCTTGGTGTGTGTTCTTTCAGATGTTAACCATATGGTTTAATCTGCAGTAATTTATTTTCTGTGATGTTTGTGTATTTAGGCCTCTTTCTTTGGCTGTTAGAAAGTGGCGTAGTATGCTGTTTAGTTTTTATATGTGTGTTCCGTTGTGTCGTTTTGGCCGTGCTTTCATGCGTGTCTGCTTCTTCAATGGTAGCAGTTTCTGGGAACAGCGATTCTGTTCCTGGCAGCAGCAGTGCTGCAAGGACTGTTTGTCCTCGATTGGCTGCCAGTGTTGCTATGGTTCCTTCTCTGCTGATGGCCACTAATTGGCCTGCTGGTATATGTTTATTTGATTTTTGTTGTGTGTATTAATGGTACATATGTGCATTGGGTTGGGCTGATCATAGGTTGTTATAGGCGATCCATTTTCCCCTTATGTGTTCTGGGAACAGCGATTCTCTTCCTGGCAGCAGCAGTGCTGCATGAAGATGCGTTTTAGACGCAAAGTAGGGCTCCTGTGATGAACTTTGTGTGAATTGTGACTTGCCTGAGATAAACCTAGTTGCAGAATGTATATACTACCTCTGTAACTTTATATAAGACGTTTTTTTGACAGTGTCAAAAAAACGTCTTATGTTTTGACACAGAGGGAGTAATACTTTAATAAAAGTAAAAAAGTGATACCTTTTTATCTTCTAACTAATGTAGTTGCCCTTATGTTTCAGGCGGAGTGCGGAGGACCATGAGAAGTTCCTTAAGAAGCTGAAGAACATTGAGAAGGCGTGCAACGTGGCACTGATCGTTCTGGTGCCTACGACGGTTCTTCTACTTATGTCTCTCTAGTATCATCTCAAGGCCTCGTATGACCCCTCCTAGAGACTGTGTATGTATGCTAGGTTTGAAGCTCTCATGGCTGTAGTGATCCAGGTTTGAGGTAACACTCTGGTTTGGCATTATGGAATCTTATTGAACCTTTTACCTGTGGACCTTGCATTTTTTGTTTACTCGTCAACGGCGGGCTTACGCCTGTCTGAACTTTATTGCCAAAACCAAACATTACGAGTACAAGGGGCAGAAATACAGGGGGGTTAGAGGAGGAAGGAGAAAAGCAAGATTACACATAAGCTGGGGGTCTATAATCTCCCAGCAAGGTGGAACAACATGGAGCCCCAGTCGCGAAGACTGATTTGCTTCTGAATGTTTTTGCATCTGTAGGACCAGAGGCGTAGGTCATCTGCAGCGGAGCTGGCAATTTGGTGTAGCTGTTGGTGTTCGTTCCGGAAAACCTTGGCATTGCGTCTTTTCCAAATATTCCAGAGGGTGGCCAGAAGAACGGTGGACCTGGTTTTATTGTTCAAGTCACCCTCCCAGGCCTGAAGTAGTCCATGCGGAGAGTGGCATAGGCTGTTTAGCTCGGCCCAGAGAGGTGCAAGCTGCCTGCAGGTGAAAAGCAGGTCGTCGATGGTTTCTTCTTGACCGCAGAAGGGGCACTTCGCTGAAGTAGTAATGCCTTGGCGAAAACGCCTCTCATTGGTGAACAGGCGGTCTTTGTGGGCAAGCCAGGCGAAGATTCTGCATTTGTTGGGCGCGTAGTTTCTCCAGATGGCCGGCGCCAGAGGATCTGTAGGCCGTGACCTCCAAACTGCCTCATATGCCCGCTTAGTAGTTAGTGGGTGGCCAGCTTCCCTCATTGTTCGTCTGTCGGCAGCCTGCAAATTCAAGTTTACCGCAGCCAACAAAGATCGCAGATCATTGAGCTCTTGCTCAGCCGTGTAAGAGAGCCTAGGGGTAAGTTCCAAGGTTAGGTCGTTCGAGGCCAATACACGTGCCACTGAACTGTGAATCCTGTTAGAGTGGGTGAACAACGCCGGGAACTGTTGCGCAAGGGTTTGAGTGGCGTTTGGTAACCACAGATCGAGCCAGAATGAAGTGGTGGCCCCTTTGCCAAGATGGACCCTGGTGATTGAACGGTAGAAATCGAGCCCCTTGATGATGTCCCGCCATATAGGGGGATGCATCGAGTCAGGACGGCCAACATCATGTGACGGCGACCAACCATATCGGGAGACTAGGTAAGAAGTGTCTGGGGAGGTCTGGTCGTCGTGGAGCTTAGAGATGTGCTTAAGAAGCAGGCAAAGATTCATTTGCTTGAGAGAAAGGAACCCAAGACCCCCTTTGGTGAAAGGCGCCCATACGAGATCCCAAGCCACTTTGCATTGACCGCCTGTAACCGAGTCTTGACCAGCCCAAAAAAGGCTCTACAACGTTTATCGATTTCCTGTAGCGTCCCGGCAGGGAGCAGCAGGACACTCATAGATGGGGAGGGCGTGAAGCACAAAGCGAACCAAAACAGCCCTACCAGCTAGAGATAGGAGCAGTCCCCTCCAGCCGGCTAAACGTTTGTCGACCTTGTCGATGATGAAGAAGAAATCAGGTAGGTTAAGCTTATGAGTTGAAAGAGGTAGACCTAGGTAGGACTGGAGGAAGGAAGCGACCTGGCATCCTAGGATAGCCGCAAGGCTTTCAGAGAGCTCGTTGTCCACGTGGATAGGAGTCAAGGTGCTTTTGTGGAAGTTGATGGTGAGGCCGGTGGTCTCGGAGAACTGAAGAAGGATTTGTTTGAGAGTGCGCAGTTAAGCCGCGTCGGGTGTAGGACAATTAGGGTGTCATCGGCATATTGCAAGACGGTGCAAGGGCGGTTGGTAGCTAGCGGGTGGGACAACAGCCCGTTTTCGGAAGCGTGTAGAATCAGGAGTTTTAGGACATCGGCGACGATGATGAAAAGATAGGGGGAAAGAGAGTCTCCTTGTCGCAGGCCCTTGCGACACTGAAACCAGGGGCCGGGCTTCCCATTCAGAAGAACAACAGAGCTGGCCGATGTGTTCAAGGTCTCAACCCAACGACATCAAGAGGGTGGGAATCCTTTGGCCTGCATAATCACAGATAAGGCGGTCCAAGAGACCGAGTCGAAGGCTTTATGGAAGTCAAGCTTGAGCACAATTGCCGGCGTGCGCCGTTTGAAACAAGATTGAACAATATCGGCTGCATGGACAAAATTCTCTGCAATCCCTCGGCCCCTGATGAAGCCAGTTTGATCATAGTGAATGATCTGGTTAATTAGGGGTAGGGCACGGTTAGAGAGGCACTTGGAAGCCAGCTTGACGGACCTTGCATTACATCTTAATGAACGCATAATGGTGAGCAGATTCAATATATTTTCCGTTTCGCACATACAGTTTGAGGACTTGCTTAATCGTGTTACATTATTGCCTGAAATGCTCTTGCCTGTCGATTTTATAAGATCAGCTCGTAAACTCAGACTTTGGAATATCCAAGTTGCTCAGCTAGTTCCGATTTTATAAGATTGGCTTGTAAAACTCTCAGATCCAAGTTGCTCATCTGGTTAAAACCCAGAATCATCATGCCTAGCTAGTGTCTGATCAAGGATCTGCATTGCCATGCCAATTCTACAAATGACACTTTTGTCCAGCCTCATGAATATGACCGGCCCGGAGTGCACTTCTGTCTAGCCTCATTCAAAATATTTGCAATTATTTCAGGAAGTATTTTGTAGCGGCCGGCATCTCCTTTTACATTACTGACAACGCACAGGCACATATCTGGAGGTCAATATTTATTCAATACAACCTATATATAGATACATCTCCTTTTGGAGAGTATTTAACCAAAAACTACCACATTTGCCGGAAACGTGACAGGAAACTACCACTCTACGTTTTTGTGCGAAAAACTATCAAATTTGGACTAAACCGTGGCAAAAAACTACCAACTCGGGAAATCGCTCGCTTCGCCCGCGCTAACCCCGTTTCTGACCGGTTGGGCCCGCGAATCAGTCGCCACGCTGGCGAACGGACGGCCGGCGCGCGTTGACGGCCGTTAACGGCCCGTCCGCTGTCGGAACGGCGCCTGTCGGTGGGCCAATAAGTGAGAGCGAGCTCAGCCGCTCATTCTCCTCCTCCTCGCTCGCTCTCACTCGTCCTCACTCCATCCTCTCCCTCTCCCTCTCCCTGGTCCTCTGACCTAGGTCAGCCTATCGCCGTCGCCGCCGCGGCCATTGCTGCCGGTCGAAGGTGAGGATGCCATCCTGGTATGACGAGGACAGCTCGGACGAGGACATCAACATGGTTTCATTGGATCAGCAGCTATTTGTAAGTGCATAATGGTGGAACAGAGTTAGGGTTAGGGTTAGTTCATCCAAATTGGAGATTCCAATTTGCTTTTGGTTTGATTCGAAGTTTCTTTTGCAGGAAACCCCCGACACTGTGGTGGAACCATCTTTCTGTGGTTCTTACACTGAATCTGAGCCGACGTGCATGATGCATCATCAGAGGCCGAAGAAGATGGTGGCTTTTGAAGGTTCTTTGACTGGCAGGCGTTTCCTAGGTTGTCCTATGCAGCAGGTATTAAATCTTGAACGCTAACTTGTTTTGCTGGTGGAGATGTTTGATGTGTTTTGCTGCTGGAGATGTGAGATGTGTGGTGCAGCATGTGGTGCAGAGATGTGTGCTGCAGCATGTGGAAGCTATATATGAAAGTAGATCTTTAGTTAACTGAATTCAATACATGACTGAACCTGATAACACCTACAAGCAGATATCTTTAGTGTATTATGAACCTGAGAATATAGTTGTTAACTGAAAAAGAACAGAGTAGGTGTTAACTGAAAAAGAACAGAGTTAAATGAATTTATATCTACTGCTAAATGTAGTTGTTAACTGAATTTATCTCTGTTGCTAAATGTAGCTGTTAACTGAATTTATTTCTGATGCTAAGTCAGGTGCATATTGATGTAAACAAAGGGTTTCAGCTAAATGAAATGACTTTATGACTTTTGGTTTCTGTACTAAGTTTGTTACTAAGTGCTTTGTGCTTAATTATAAATAATTGCTTCTGTAGGATGAAGGTGTGAACTGTGGGGTTGTGGAGTGGGTGGATGGTCCTTGGCCAGAGATTCTACAAAGGTGCCTAACCAGGATTTGGGACATGTATCATGAGCAGAACTTGGGCAGGGTGAATGACAAACAAGCCCATGAGAAAGAGGTGGCCAAGCTACAGAAGGAAATTGATTTCCTGTCAAACAACTACAGCCAGTTGGTGGAAGATGTATCCAACCTATTTGACTATCAAGATGGCAAGATGTCTCATGACATGGACTATACTAGTCAGGCAATCAATGAACTAGCTGAGAAGAAGAAACAACTTGAGGATCAGGCAAAGATTGAGTTAAGTACGGAAAAGCTGAAGCTTGCCAAGGAGCAAAGGTGCATTCTTCAAAGCCAAGCAGAGATCATTCAGAACATGAGGAAGGCCATGAAGGAAGTGGAGGGGGACAGGGACCTACTTAAGCAAGAGAAGAAGAAGTTAGAGTATCTTATTGCTGATCTGCTCAATGCTGGGCATGACAGCAAAGCTAAGCTGGAGAGGATCAAGGCAATTATGAATGAGTGAAGTGGTTGGTTTGTGGGTTAAGTAATTAGTAGGCCTATATATATAGCTGGCCTTGGAATGTCATGCATGTTAGGTGTATATTTTGGGAAAATTTCATGTGCTTTCAGAATGGTATGAGGGAGGGAGGTATTGCTATGGTTTAAGAACTACTTGGTTTTATCTATGATGTAATGACTATTATGTTAAGACCTACTATGCTAAGTACTCATGCTAAGTTAAGTAAGTAAGAATGTTTTATCTATGATGAGGTTGTTTTACTCTGCTTATATCATGTGTGGTAACTGACAGTACTGACATAGTTGGAAGTAGCAAGTAACATATATAGCAATTAGCTTAGATAGTCTGACAAATAACTTAACATAGATAGTCTGACA